CTTCTAAACTAGTTTTGCAGACAGTTCCAAGAGAGGTGTCCAAATTTTCCTTAAACAAAGGTGGCATTGTTGAACTTTATAGGGCAAGAGTAATACCAAGGGCCTGATGTTTCTGTTTACAATTTTGAAAAGCAGCATAGCTGAAGCCCAGTACTTTTCTATAAGAAACAGTATTTCTTCTATTTCTGAACTTCAGCTGGTAAGAATTTTTATATCCATTTTATTTTTTTCCCTTAATTTTAAGTGCCTAGTACCAGAAGATATATATCAACTTTCTGATAAAAACTCTTTGAGATAAGCTGAATAGTTGGTGTAATACCTGTTTTGCCCATTTGAAAGTTAAGGAAGCCAAGCCCAGAATAATTTAAGATCACACAAGTATCAGCTGACATCAAAACTCAGATCTTTTTTTACCACTTTGTTTTCTGTTCCCTTGTGTTAGTCATGTCTTATGCCTTAGGAGTCCTAGCAACTTTCAGGTCTGCTCATAGATAAAAGGACCTGATAGTCCTCAGCAGGGCATGGAAGTGCTGGTACAGTATTCCTCAAGGCTGCCACTGATGGAAAGGGAACAGAACTCAAGCATTTCAGGGTTGTGTGTGCTTCCTGTAGAAATATATGTGTCTGCTTCTGACTTGATATGTGACCTTGAACAAGTCTCTATGTCAAGGTAATCTATGATTTGAGGCTGTTTTTATTAATATATTACCCTACAGTTCATAAGAACTCTTTTTTTATATAATTGAAGAATAAAATAATTTAGGCCACATAGCTAATAAGAGTGCTACTAAGATTCAAATTTGGGGCCCTTTGAGAGTCCTGTTTTTGAAAACCTTGAAATCGTACTGATTTTTAGTGGAGTCATAGTTAGGCATCTGAGTTGTAAGAATCCTATGACAGGCTCGGCGCCTGTGGCTCAAGCGGCTAAGGCGCCAGCCACATACACCTAAGGTGGCAGGTTCGAATCCCCAGCCTGGGCCCGCCAAACAACAGTGATGGCTGCAACCAAAAAAATGGCCAGGCGTTGTGGTGGGCGCCTGTGGTCCCAGCTACTTGGGAGGCTGAGGCAGGAGACTCGCTTGAGCCCACGAGTTGGAGGTTGCTGTGAGCGTGATGCCATGGCATTCCACCCAGGGGGATAGCTTTAGGCTCTGTCTCAAAAAAAAAAAAAAAAAAAAAAGAATCCTATGATAGTAACTTAAATTTTAATCTTTTTTATGAATAGATGCAAGAACCAGTGTGTTTGGGCAAGGGGTGGGGAGATGTATGCTTTTCATAATGGAGGACTGAGGGAAGAGAAGACAATCATAGGTTGTTGGCATTTGGCTGTTTTTCCCTAGAAGTCTTATACTCCTGGGAGCCGGGCCTTTCTGCTATCTGAGAGGCATTCAGTAACCTCCGCTAGCACCATGGCGGAGGTGGCACCAACCTTAGTACATAGACAGTGACTCATTGTAGTAAGCTAATTTGCCCTAGTCTATAATTTCCCCTACATGAAGGGAAGGGAAGGGAAATAACTCTGGGAAGAGTTTCGACAGAGCCTAGGCTTAGTAACACAACCTGTTTGAGCTCTGTGGGAGGTAGTATGCAGAGTTGTGGTATAATTAGAGTGAAGTTTGAATCCAGATCCTGCTGTGTTACCTGAGTTTCCAATCTATAAAGTGGGAGAAGTAACACTGAATGATACTGCCATTTACTGCATGCTGACTATATCAGTGTGAAGTGTTTATTAATCTTTAGAGGCACCCCGTAAGATAGGCAGTAGGCCTGTGAGAGAGATAACATAAAGCACTATAGTTGGTAATACATAAAGCCTCTGGCCAGGTACGAGATGCACTATACTTCTCAATATACTGTCAGTTTCCTTCTCCGTTTCTAATTTGTGCATATGTCTTAGACTGAGCTACTGGAGGCCATAGACGGTGTTTTGTTCCTCTTCCTGTTGTCACATGTTCATCACAGACTCAGCTAGACACAGATGTGTTATTGAACATGACTGACAGAATTGGGAGGAAGCGCCCCAGGTTTCCTGGGTGGATGGATTGCAGGTGAACTGGGTTTTTTAGATTACTGGTCTTCATTTTCTTCATTACCGACATACTCCTGATTACTCTGTGTCTTCCTCATGAGGCCCTAGCCATGGGCTGTCCCCTGTGGGGCTTATTGACTTCCCTGACTTTTCTCTTAATAGGAAGCATCGGAGAGCTCGAGATCGGTCCAGATCCTCCTCTTCTTCCTCCCAGTCATCTCACTCCTACAAAGCAGAAGAGTACACTGAAGAGACAGAGGAGAGAGAGGAGAGCACCACAGGCTTTGACAAATCAAGACTGGGGACCAAAGACTTTGTGGGTCCAAGTGAAAGAGGAAGTGGCAGGGCTCGAGGAACCTTTGTAAGCCTTTCTAACCTCTTCTGTTCCCCTTTATCTAAGCCCCTTGTTCCCACCAGTTCTGATTCTGTTTCATCAGAGTAGTAGTTTTATTGCCTCTGATGTAAGCAATCTAGTCTCTGGACCCCAGACTCTTTGATTCTCCCTCTTATATTTCCCAGGCTTTCCATATTTAGTTGTTTTTTTTTTTTT